CATCCACCAAACCACTTTGGTCAAAGCACCCTCCTCCAACCAGGTCTTGAGTTATTGTAGCTGAATTCTGCCATAACTTTCCGTGTGCTTAAATATTGTCATACTCTGATTAGATGCATTGATACCCTGGTATTTTTAAACTCATGGCAGGATGCATTATTGCAAATAATGTTCTCCTGTCACACTGCATTTCATTCATAGATCTATAATTGCCTGCATTTTAATTATGAATATGACAACTCCTTGGTGTGGTACTTATACTTTATAACATAGTTTTAAATAATTCTGCTCCCTTCATTCAAAATGTTTAGATCTTCACTAAAGAATTGCTTGTAAGTGTTGAAAACTTCAAAGTTGCTGTACATTTTATCAGCATTCCTTGTGGCTTAGTTGGTACAGAAGTAGTGGGTTCAAATATGGCATTGAAAGAGTCAGATCAGGTGTGCAATCTGACTAATAAAATCTGGAGGATATTTCTGGTTCATGAATAACTTTTACTCAAGTGAAAAGACATGTTACCCCTGTACTACTGATGGTGGCAGGCTGTAGAACCACTCTGTTCTTTGAGATACTTTTCAGTGCAGACCATCTGCTTTTACTGTCTTGCTAATGATTATTCAACTAACTTAATATCTTCCATGTCAACCTGCTTTAAGCAAAGACCCTTGTGATCCTGAGATGTTACTTACAAGGTTTTGTAAGAACTTTTGTCTTCGTGTTCCTTCTGAAGGAGTTTTAGCAGCAAAATTTCTGGTGTGATAGTAACCATGCATCTGTCCTTGGTGTTAAGCTGATCAGCAGCTTTGGCATTAGGAGGAAATTTTTCTATAGGGCACACAGGAAGGGGTAGTTGTTTGAAGTTTTTCCTTGCTTGTGATGCTTCTGAGAATTTTCATGGCTTTTGAAGTGAGCAATGTGATGGTGATAACTTCTGCCCCTCTCCTGATGTGCTGCAGTCAGGGCCGTAGCCCTTACATTTATGAGACATTCTCATTCTGCAGCTGATGGTATACGAGGAACTGAAATTTCCAAGACCATGAGTATTGCCTGGTGCTAGCAATATCACACCTTAGAAAACATTAAAAAAAGACCTCTAATTTTTCCCTTGTTTGGTTGTCATTCCTGGAGGTGATCAGACATGTCTCCTGGAGTCATGCCATTCTGAAGGATCACCTCTCTGTCTTAGTTTGACTCTTAATTTAGGTGCTGCAGGTTGGAGGTAATTTTCTCTAGAGCTTCTTTAGTCTGTGGAGCACAACGTGAGCTGTTGCAGGGGAAACTAGGTTATTTTCTTTGGAGAGATATTTTCTTTATTGAGCATCCAAGCAACCCTGTGAGACCTCTCAAGCATCTTGTAGCCTCTGAAGTTATGGAGTATGAATACTTCATTCCTTCTTTCTCTGATGTTCAGTTTAATGACTGACTTTGCAGCATTGGTTTAATGGTTCTGGCTTCACATGCAGAGCCAGAGAGCAATTGTTATTTCAGAAGCTAATTTTGTCTGGGAAACAAAAAATGTTTGTTGCAATTCAGTGACATTAAAACAGATTTTTAGAATATGAAATAAAAAGAGTTGTTTCCAATGGAAGCAGCAGACACTAACATAGAAATTAGATGAGTGATATATGCCCTGGGAAAAGTATTGTTTTCAGCATGAGAGTATACTTGTACTTGTTTATCCAATCTCGATTAGCTTGCAGCATTACCACAATTCAATTAGCAGCTTTTTCAACATGGCTTTTCTTCTGTTGGTGCATTATGCACCTGTATATGCTCAATAATAATTTATAAGTGAGGTGGAGAGTTGCTTGTGTTTGAGGAGGTTTGTTTTGGTGTGGGTGGTTTTCTGATGTTTGTTTTGCTTGTCATTTTTTTGTGTTTGCTGGCAGGCCTGGGCATAGTGGGCTTTTTTCTTTGTTTGGGTTTTGTGTTTTTTGGGGTGTTTCTTTTTTTTTTTTTTTTTTTTTTTGATTTTTCTTTTGTTTTGTTTTCGGTTTTTTTCTTGGTGTTGGTTGGTTGGTTTTTGTTTGGTTTTTTGTTTTGTTTTTTTTTTTCTTGGTTTTGGTTGGGGTTTTTTTAAATGAAGATTCTTTTCTGAGCTGGGTAGTTAGAGAGAGCTTTGCTGAGGAGGCAGCCTGGGGAATGAGTGCTTCCTCAATACATGAACAGAGCACCCCACTTGCCAGTTTTGCCAAGTTGTCACATCAGCAATAAAGCTACTTGCTAAATAACTATAAAAGGTAATAAAACATTTTTATTAGTAATAACAAATACTTTTCTGGGGAGAAATTGAGAAAACAATGACTTGATTAAAATATTTATTAAATCAAGATTTTTGATTTAAGATTTTTGAGACATCTTTAAGACCTAAAGGTATATTATATATGAAAAAACAGTGGCATAGTTCATTTTATGTATTACACCAGTGGTGCAGTGTTGCTTAAAAGAAATAAAACAATTCTCACTTAAACGCTTCTAATTTTAAGCTAGCCTGGCTTTGCATGTTAACAGCATTTTTCTCCAACTTCTGTCTGCTCTCTTGCCAATGCCATCTGCTTGCTTGATTCACCAACCAGGTGATTTTTGTCATCTTCACCCTCCTCCTCAATATGCCCAGCAGTCCCATTTGGGTTTATGGGCTTAGTGTGCTAAGCAATATTCATATATTTATGTAAACATGCTCCTGATTCTAAAGAACCTTTCTCCATTTCTAGCTCAATAGCTTCTAAATCTTCCTCTGTTGGGGCATGCAGCTCTGAATTATTTTACTGGTGTGTAATCTCTTGTTATGCCAGCTAGTTTTGTTGATCTGTAATGTATTCATTTATCCAATAGATTCTACTGTAGCAAAGCACTTAATTTTAAGAGTGCAGGTAGACTTGGCGTGAAAAGAATGTAATTAGCTCAAAGCTAAGCACTTGCCTAAATGCTTTGCTGGATTTGAGGTTTAGGAAAGAGATGAAAAGATTGGTCTAATTATGTTGAATTTGTTTTAGAGCTGCTTTATCCTAATAGCCTTATCACCAGACCACTTCTGATTATGGATTTTCAGTGTAGAAGACTTTTCACATCTTGTCAGGCTTTTCATAGCATCATAGCTCTCTCTGGTTTTTTTTTTGAACTGTAATCTTCAGCATGGCCTGCATAAGAAAATGTATCACTGCCTCTTAGGAAAGTGACTTAGGGAAGCCATGTCTTAAAAAATTGGATGTTGAAGGCAATGAAAAACTCATGTCACCAGTTCATTTGATTTTCACATATAAGATGCGCAAAATATTTATTCTTTAGCTACTGCAAGTTCAGACTGCTGTAGCCTAAAGAATAAAGGTGTCAGTAAGACCAGATTGATCAGGAAAAGGAGAGGGAAATTGATAAAGCAAATTGCATGAATTAAATTCTGCTCTGCTATTGATTTGGGCTGAGCAATTGTTAGAACTATTGTTGGGGGAAAAAAAGGATGTAAACCACTGAAAATAAAAAGTGAAGAATCTTCTAGCTCTTACCTGCTGGAGTTTGCCTTCTTCCATTCCTAAAATCTGTGTGCACTCACTCTCATAGATGTCAGGGGGATTTTTAGGATTTGGTTTAACTCATGTTCACTGAAAAACTGCCCTAAATCTAAAGTTGCAAGAATTACTGCTTCCTCAAGACAGAGCTTAGCTGGACTGGGGTTTGCTTTTCCCACTGCTGTGTGGCCAGTGGGCACACACAACACACATTACTGAGACCAGAAAGCCACATAGTAGGCCCAGGTGTTTTCAATGAAAAGGACATTTGTTGAGTTGCCTTTGACAATCCTTCCTCTTCTGTAGTGTTTAGCTTGGATGCCTTGTCATTTCTGAAGGCACAGCAAGCTCATCATGGAATTCCCACTATGCCGTTTCCTGTGTGCTATTTTTCAGAGGCAGGGTTATACTGCGGTTGTCTTTCCCCACTTGTTCCTGCTTAGTCCTGTATGAATTTTTGGCTTCTTTACCAAGGATGGCACTTGGGCAAATGTTTAATTTGATTGCACTGCCTAGACACAAAGATAGAAATGGTCTTATACACTCTTGAAATAGTAAGTTGAGGCAGGTGTTTAGTGCTTTCGAAGATGCAAACCACATAAGTGCTTTCTCAGAAAAATTATTCATCATTGCTTTTTACAATATAGATCATGATAGGGAGAAGGAGGAGAAAAGGACACAGCCACATAGTGATAGGTTTGTAACAGCTTCTCTGGGCAATAGAGGGCCCCAGGCTTTTGCCTTCCTTCTATTTTTTAACAGGCTCAGGACAGATACTAGTGGGTAGTGAGAAGGTCCCAGCTGTTTGCAGCTCTGTCCTGCCTTGTTGTGAGCCCTTGTCCACTTTTTCTCTTTTTGTTTCCATGTCTGTTTAAAATACAAAGGCTGGTAAGGTGAGGACTGGCTCTTGCTCTGTCTTTGACCCTGCCTGCCAAACCCAGGGGACTTGCTGCCCTGTGGCATCTCAAAATGTATCTGTAATACAAGTAATTGTTAAGAAATTTCTCTCTTGTCACTCAGTCATCTACAATTTGGGATTCTCAGTGTACTGGAGACTGACTAACCATTCCACTATCAGCATGACAAAGTCTGGCAGGTCTGTCTGTAGACAGTTTCAGGTTCTCTGTGCAGATAGCACTGGTATTTTCAGTGATGGATCAGGTGCTGAAGACTTGACCTTGTCTACCTTGTGGACACTGTTGAAAGGTCTCAGAAGTGTCTCAAGTGAAAAATTTAGGCAGAAGCCTGCAGTTCCAGGAGAGCATTGGAAATGATGTCCTGATGATGATACAGCTTTCATCACCATGGGTTATCTTCTGCCTTTCCAATATGTATCAGCACAGGGTTTGCCCTGCTTTTGGTAGAACATGAGAATGCAAGTGGACTGAGGGATGTCAGTCTTAACTTACATGTGTTGTGAGCTATGTCCTCAGCTGTGAAGCTGTATGCATAATGCTTTTTGCCTGACATCAGTTTTCTTTTTGTCTTTTGCAGCACTTTTACAGGCAGTCATATCTGGTGATGTACTGAAGGTAGGTACAGAGCTCTGAGTGTCCACTTACACACAGTTTTTTGCTGGTCAGATATAATGTACATTTTATTACACTGCTGCTCAAATCATAAATAGGCTGCTGTGGGGACTTCTAGCAAGTGCCATTTTACAGCATTTCCAGGAAATCCTGAACACCAGGGGAACACATAATTCAGGTGAGGTGTGAAATTTGCGTGAATAGGATTTGGTGTTAGCCAGAGCCTTTTTGCCCAGGATTCAGAGCCCACTGCACAGAGCAATGTGCCATTCACTAACAGGGAAATTACTGTAATGGCAGTGTTGAACAGCAGGGTAATTCTGATACAGCATTACACAGGAAAGCATATTTTCCACCAGTGAGGTTGGTGGCCAAGACCCCAAGCACTAGCTCGTTCAAAGTCTACCTAGGCAATCACCAGACCAGGTAGAACAAACCTCAGCTGGTTGTTTTATCACCTGATGGATGTCTCAAAACATGTAGTGCCTTGGTATAGTAAGTTTGGGAGGCAAAACTACTCATGCAATTTTTTTTGTGCCAATGACTGCAGTCCCGCATCAGACAGCTGTTCAGGCTGCCTGTCCCAGTAGCCAAGTCAGGATCTGAAAACATGCTCTCGAATTTGGATGAGGACTGTGATTAATGACAGCAATTTTATCTGTGAGAAGCCAGCTTGGAGCCATTTGTAAAAATGACAGTGCTGTTAGGCCAACTTTTTGCCTGCAGGTATTTTGCCTCCCTTCTATACCACTGCCTCAGTTCTTGTGGCTGCAGCATCTAGGGAGCAGTCCTTCAAGCAGTCATAACAATGTTGTCTCCTTTACACTTCTTGAAAATGTTTTGCCTGAGCTGGCTTTGATGGGGAAACTCCTCGTCCTTCTTCAGATGTGCTGCATCATAATAGAGTCGTCACTGTAGCAATTCTCTCCTTTTTCCGCAGTGATCTGCACTGCAAATCCCACCCTCCCTCCCCCAAAGTTTGCAGCATTTCTGAGACCTCCCTGGTTGCTGTTTCCCTCTTATTCTTACCCCCTGTATTGCTTCCTCCTTGGCCAGCCCTGAACAGGGGGCACTGTGACATGGGAGATTCATGACAGTCACCTCATCTCCTTGTGAAATTCTGAGTTGGAGTTTTCTGATATAGTCAGAAAATATTTGACTCCTGTGCTGAGGAAAAATTTGAGTCTTCAGCAAAGAAGCCAGAATTTTCTATCAAGTACATATATTTTAATATATCCCAACAACGTTGCCAGATGTGGTTTGCAAGCATTCCTAGCAAGTAATAAATCATCACCAGTAGAGTAGCAATGTCTCATTGTTTAGGAAATACAGACTATTCTCCTTAACCCATATAATTGTCAATACTTCTGGTTTCAGATGTTTTATATCAGGGCCTAAAAGCTAGCTTTAAATTAATGTTTTATTTTATTTTATTTTATTTGGTACTGACTTACAATGAGAACCAGTAAAGAATTTACTGATATATTTGTTTTTTTACTCCTCCCATCTTATAATTCTGTATGGTTTGTTTTTTTTTTTTTTTTTTTTGTCTTTTTTTTTTTGTTTCCTTCAAGTTCATAGAATGTTGTAAAAAAGGAGCCAATTTGTTAATCCAAGGACCTGATCACTGCTCCTTATTGCACCACGCAGCCAAGACTGGGAACGGCGAGATTGTGAAATACATCCTGGAGCATGGTGAGTCCCTGGGGCAGATCCACAGAGAGCTGTACCTCAGCCCAGTGTCACTCAGGCAAAACCACACCTGCTGTGGTGTCCCTCAGTGGCATGTCCACCTGTAGCATGTGTGAGCAGGAGGCTGGGAATGGAGTAGCAATGAGAGTGATGGCTCCAGGCAAAGTGTGAAAAGAAGAATTAGAATGGCTTTTGAGGAGGGTGGTGTTTTCAGGGTGCATCAGCTGGGGGGCTGTGAAGAGGCAGTGTGAAGCTTTAGTTAAAACCTCTGGCACAGGGATCCTCTGAATTGTTTTTCAATTAGAGTGTATGTTGTAGAAAGCATCTAATCTCTATTAAAACATTTACAGTGACAAAGAGCTCATACAACCATTGTTATTATTTCAGCATTTAGTAACATGCTGGTCAGGAATCTGCTTCCTTACTTCGAGACAAATTCATCTAGCTTCCATTCCAGCCTAGAATATTATGTCTGTTAGATTCAAGACCACCCAACAGCAAAAACCTATGATCTCCATTTTGTATTTATGGACTGTGGTCATGCTATTGCCCTTTTTTCCTTTTCATGCTTCTTATCTTTGTCAGTAGATTACAGGCTATGCAGCATTTTTTTTTGTGTCTGAGGCAGTCACATTTAGGAGCTTCTGCCTGTTGAACCACTGCAACCTTGTTCCCTCACTGCTGGAGAGTGGCACAGTAAAATAGTCACTGCTCTGCACACAGAGCAGCAGTCAGAGTTATCAGCCTCCTTCACTGTAGAAAAAGTTTTCTAGTCTTCTCTTCTCTGACCCCACTTCAAAATGTCAGTGGCTAATTAGGCTTCTGGATGTCAAAATCAGCAAAATTATTTCAGTAGCAGTGTTAGTGTGAACACAGAGACTGCCCCTGGTAATTAGAATAAGTGTTAGCTGTTGCTCCAAGGTATTGCACAAATTGTACAGAGAGAAGAAAAAAGCACAGCTCCTAAGAGAGGAAGAAGCAACAATGCATCTCTTCAACCTTGACCCCTAAGTTAGGTATTAACTTATGCGTGTCAGGTATTCTATAGGTCCAAGTTCCTGTACTGTCAGCAGCAATCTGTAACTTAGTTCATTTGCTCTGATGTGACAGAGGCACTTCTGGTGACAGATGGAAGTGAGGAGGGCATCCTTAATAGCAGCAGGCTTCTAGCATGACTAACTCAAAGGACATCTTAGTCAAGGTAGTCACTGGAACCCAGAAAGTGATTCAGGCAACAGTTACATGTGCATTTTATTCATTTAGATAAACATAAATGTCTAATGTCATTTGCCCTTGGATATCCAGGACATTTGCTTGGGTCTACAAGATAGCACACAAGGTCCAGAGGAGGTCTGACCTGCACTGACAGCCAAAGCCTAAGCAAGCATCTCCATCATTCCAAGTGCATCCCAAGGCTTGCCCCATGGTATATCAAACAGCACAAAATATCTGGTGTGGGCAACCGAACCGTGTCCTAAAAATCTGAGAGGGCCTGAATTGATCGTTTACTCTTTTATGTATAGATACCTACACATGGATAGGGCAGTGCAGTTGGCCTTATATCCAAATAATGACCAGTTTTCTCACCAGTTCTAGCAAACCTTACCAGTGCTTACTCTACCTTATATTTACCTGCTCTGGATAGTTGCATTAGTCATAGTGCACACATGTGCCACTTCTCACTAGTTCTAGCAAACCAGTGCTTACTCTACCTTAATTTACCTGCTCTGGATAGTTGCATTAGTCATAGTGCACACATGTGCCACTGAATTCTGTAGACAGGCATAATTTTGCTTTATTTTCTTACTGCCCCTGGTGTCTTCTCACACTTCACATGACCTGTGCCAATTCATCGACGCCTCTCTAGGATTTTTATTGGACACATATACTTTAACTTAGTGACAGTCTGATCTAATTACTGTTCCTTTGGTGAACATTTAAAGTGAGAAAATTTAAACTAATAAGATTGTAAGCAGGGAATCCATGGGAATTTTTGAAGTAAATAGAGAAATGTAAGGGATTACAGACTGTTAGACAAAGACAAATCAGAAGATTGAGCAAATGTCAGCTCAGTCCCTCTCTCCCTTCTTTATCCCCAAGGATGGCAGGAAGCTTTTGCAGCTTTCCAGACATATGTCCTCTGGGCTTCTCCAAACACACTGTTTGTTTAACATTCTCTGGGGATCAGGGAGAGCATGGGACAATGCACAATCTAATAGAGGTACCCTCTCTTCTTCCACCAAGCAATTAATGAAACTCATTTCTACTCTGGGCACTTATCAGCCACAAATGAGCTCTCTTGCTGAATCATCATCATCATAATGCCCTTGTTTTTCTTTGCATTCGCTGGCATTTGGCATCTTCTCAGCATTAATTACTGTACATGACCTGCTCCAATGCTACTAATATCTAAGGGTTTCCCTGTGTGGAGCTTCTTGTTTCTGCCAATATCCACCCATAAAAATTTCATAAAAATGAGTCTTACTTCTGTTCTGGCAATTACCTCTGCCCAGTCACACTTCCTCTGGATTCTGTGTGCTTCCCAATATACGGCTGAGAATAGTGAATGATAATAGGAGTTCCACTGTAATACCCTCAAGCACACAGCAAAGAAAATCTATTATTAACCACACAGGGAAAAATCTGAGTATCACTAAAAAACAACAGCAAAAAAAGAAGACCAAATCCACTTCTCCAGGAACTTTAACTTTCTAGTTTGAAAAACAGTGGGATGAATCCAATGCAATACAGGAGTGGCACTCATAGAACTAGAATTACAAAGGAAGGAAAATGCTGTAGTGGTGCTAAAGCTGTCCTTTGTGAAGATGGTCTGTTCTGCAAACATGCAGGGCACATTTATATGAAAGGTTATTCTGTGATCACAATCAGAATGATTTCAGATGTTAAAGGGAGGAAAATAACCTGCCTTAAATTAGAAATAGCAGGGATGAGTCACACAGGGGGACTGCTGTGTGGTGCCTCCAGCTAATTTGCAGTGGCCCAGCACAAGCCAGGAATAGCAGCTGAAGCACCAATGTAGTAGGTGTCAGGACAACAGCTGCTTGCTGCCGCAGGAAGAGTTGTGCTGGCTGCTGCTTCTGTAAAACAGTTTGTCTCTATCCCCTGTGCAGGAAGGGCAGATACATAGAGACACAGATCTATCACTCATTCAAGATTGCCCACCTAAATCAGGAGTCTTTCAGTTTTAGTAGAAGGGTCAGCTTTAAGAACTTGTCTGTAGCTGAGGTAAGAAATGCTTAGCTAGAAACTGTGGGCCAAACTCAGTAGGTATCACAATCACAGCTTTTTAATGCTGCAGTCAGCAACTGCATTGCATCTTAATGCATGTACATTAGAGAAGAGTTAACTGTCTACTTGCTTAACAGAAGCAGAATTAAGGAAGGCTTAAGAACCTCTGTTAGAAAAGGGGCCTCCTAAATCACCTGTATTTGGTATCAAACTTGGATTGGAGTCTTTATTTGGCAGCTGTGAAAAGTTTGTAATTTATAAGCATTATACAAATAATTCCATTTGCTTTGTCTTTGTCTTCTCTAAACATTCAAAAGACAAGCAAGAATTGTAAAGTTCATCTATGGCATTTTGATTTTAAACAGAAGAGAGGAAAGATGTTTGCAGTTGCCTTAGGAGGTTGTGGTGGGAATTTCTGCTGCAACAGAAAATATGTAGGGCATCCCATCCTTAACATTGCTGTGTCCTCAAACCTCAATATCGTTGCTTCAATAGAAAGCATCCCCTGATTTAAAAAAAAAAAAAAAGATGACGCTTTCATTAATCTCAGCGCTGCAAAGTCCAGAGCTAAGAGCCATCAGTGAATCTGGATTTGTATCCTGACCATATTCAGAAGTTCCTTGGATAGCTTTGGGAAACCAAATTTTCCTGTGACAGGGATGTGTGTCGGGGACAAAGTTTGAATAGTCATCAGAAAGCAACACAATGAGAGTGAGTTTGCATTACACTTGTTAGTATGTCTAGATTTGCAGAATGTTTTATGGTAGTGGTCATTTATGAGGGGCCTAGCAGAAAACAGTTTAGTTTTTTCTGGAAGGCACAAGGTATAACATAGCCTATTTTAATTTCAAGCATACCAAATTTTAGGGTAACGTAGCTGACCGACATGTAGGAAGAAATGCTCCCACAACCTGTCTAGCCTCTATATTACAGTGGAAATTCTGAGCTAAAAGACACTAGCAGAAAAGACCACTGTTAATTTTCCCGTTAGGTTAAAAAAAAAAAAAAAAAAAAAAAAGTGTGGTTTTGGGGAAAGATTAGAAACAGTTCTGAATTTCCAGTTTACTGTTATTTTAAAAATACTCCTATTTTGAAGGTAAGGATCCACATCCAGTTTTGTCTGCCAGATAATAACCCCAATCAGGTTATTAAGAAAGAGGGTTTTGACAGATAAATATCCAGAAATGTTGATAATGTCTGACATTACTGCTTAGAGTTAATACCCTTCTTCCTCAGTTCTATGAAGGACTGACAGGACACAGGACTGGCAGGGGTTAACATCTGTGGGTCTCCTGTGGGTATCTGTAACCACATCATTTGGAGAGGGCTAAGCTGTGGGCTCAGAGGCCTTTTAAGAATGTGTAGAACTGTATATTTTGGAAATGCCTCTGAAATATGGTCACCTAAAGTGTTGGTTTTTTTTTTTTTTTTTATTGTAGTGAGCTTAGCGAAGGAGCAGCTGCTTTTGAGTCTCCTGGCCCTCCCTCCTCCCATACCCAGCCCAGGCTGCTTTGCCTTCTGAGAAACCAGAGAAGGGCTTTGGTGGAGCGAAAGAGGGCAAAAGGAGAGAAGGAAAAAAGTTAATAATTCTACACAGACAGTCTATGGGCGATGTTGAGGAAAGAGAGTGATCTCAGCTGGGCTTCCCCTCAGTGCGTCATGCTTTTCAGCTCTTTTCAAGTGAATATCTCCCCCCACCCAGTCCCCCGTCCCCATCCTGCCATTCTTCAGCCCCCCAGTCTCTTTTTCCCTTTCTCTCTCTTTTTTTTTCCTCCCTCCACCTCTCCACACATTTCTATCTTTTGTTTTTATTTCCCCCCCTGCTGTTTTCCTTGATAGAAATCTCACTCATGCATTTCCCTTCCGGATTTCTATTGGGTTATTTTGTCCTCTTTCTCTCCGTGCCTTGGTCCCCTTTTCTTTCTCTGCCTCTTGTCCCAGAGTGAAACAGCCGCCTCCCTGCTGGGTCAGGATGACAGTGCCGTTAGCTTTCCCAGTGCCAGCCCTTCCCACATCTGTGCAGCTTTTGTCCCCGGGCAGAGGGGGATTTGGAATGGTCGGTTGGCAGCGCCAGGGAGACTGATCTAAAAATGAGGTCCAAAAAAGAGGGGAAAGGGAATTAGGAGGAGGGCGTGAGATGGTTTAAGAGAAGGACAAGTGAAAATAAAATAAAGAAGTAAAGGGCACTGCTCAGGCTGTGAGTTGGGACATTCCAGCTTCAGAGACAGGCCAGAGAGAATGAAATTAAAGAATCCTGGTACCATGTCGTGCAGCTAATTATTAACCCCAGCATCTGGCCCTTACGTACAACTCAGATGGAGTCAGTGCTCTCCTATGAAATGCTTAATTTGGGACAGTATCCAGGAGAGCACCCTTGGCCCTTAGGGGAGGTGTACTTGTCATCTCCTCAGGTCTGTATCACAGACTGCCTTCAGGGTCCTCAGCACTGAGCTCCTCTGTCCTAGCCCTTCTATTTCTTTCTGCTTCACACCAGTTTTCCATTACCCTTGGCTTCTCTCCAGACCCACTCTGCCCCAACTTTCTTCTCCCACTCAGGTCATATTCTTCTGAATATTCTCTATTTTACTGTCTTTACTTACCTTTTAACAGCTTCTTCCACTTACCTGAGCAAGTATCTCTATGTCCCACAAAGCCAGACCTGTCACCCTGTTCCACCTTGGCAATACAACCTTCCTTGCTCCAACCACAAGCAGAAATAATAGGTGGCAGTGTCTTCTATAACACATTGCAAGCCATTCCTGCTTACCTATCACTGAGATGTGGCATTGCAGGAAGCTATGGGAAATTACTTTTATTTTTGAGAGAACACGATTTTCTCCTAGGAAATATAAAGGACTCATTTTCTTCATGTGTATTTCTTTAATTGTCTTTTTAGTTTCTCAGTCATTATCTTTTTTCCTCTCAACAAGAGGCTCTGCTTATCTCCCTTTATCCTTCTTCGTGGTCCTGGGAGCTCAGGGGTAGTGACTGATTCTTCTTTTTGATAGGCAAGAGTGAACACACAACTGCCAAGTGTGGAGATGAGAATGTGTGGTGGTAGAGTCAGGCTGCATTCAATAATTGGCAGTGGCTACTGAATTTGGAGAGCTGTCATGGCAAGTATGCAGTGGTACACAATGCCCTGTGCACTGAGGACTAAGCACCATCGTTTCCCATGATTGCAGAAGATGAAATGAAGGAGATGCCTGCAGCTCAGGAGCCCCCGTGATACTTCATGTGTACATTGTAAAAGCAGTGAGGTAAAGATAGGCTGCTCTGATCCATTTTGACACACACTCAGACTAAAAGGAGTGTAAAGAGGTTGTGTGTAGGCCTTTGTAAGCAAGTAGTGTGAAATTCCTCACTTTCAGGTGAGATTTGCTGTAAGCTCTTGAGGACTCTTGAATTTCAAAGTCACGGCATACTGGAGAGAAATACTCATGTGCAGGAAGGAAGTCTTGTAAAGTGTCCCTGTTCCCCTTGCTAACTGCCCTATACCATCTAACACTACACTCTAGAGCAGGGGAGAGAAGAATACTATGACAGACTGCAAAGGAAAAGTTGGTTTTTCTCAAGTGACATCCAGATCCTAGCCTTTCCATATTACTGTAATTCAGCAATGGAATTTGCCTCTACAAATATCTCCCTGTAGTGAATATCAAGGACATAAGGACTTTAACATAAACGTATTATTTTTTTCCCCACTTAACAAAAATCTTGTCTGTTTTTCTTAATCTTACTTTCCTGATCATTGCTAACCAGTAGAGTACAGGTTTTGCATATCAATATAAAGACCGCTGGGAATATTCTACCCTGATCTACATTTTGTATAACGGTATTAAATGGAGTAGCACAGGGATGTCATTCAGGATGGAATTTGGCTAATTTCAACTTCCTAATGACATTTTCCCTCTAATGCCAACAATAGATTTTAACTTGCAATATATCAGGGTTTCCAGTATATCAGCATTTTCAATGTACTGTAGTTATGTGAACCACTTAATTGAGCAAGGTGAAGAGTGAGAAAATAAACTCCATGAATATTCATTCCCAGTATAATTTAGAGGCTGCTACTCCCTGTTGCTGACACTCCAGCAGCGACTGTGCTTTCAGAATTTTATTAGTGCAAGGGCTTACATGAGCATATATTAGATTGAAGTTTGACATATTTTGCAGGCTGAGCTTTCACTTGGCTTCTTTTATATATTTTTTACTGGGAATCTTCTCCTGGTAGACATATTTTTTGACGCATGCAGACAAATGCTTTATGACATACCTGACTGTCTTTTGCAGGTCCATCTGAATTACTGGACATGACAGACAGTGAAACGTAAGTACAACCTACTCTGTCTTCCACGTTATGTGTGTTAAACTAGCAGCCTCTTGGTTTTCAAGTGCAAACTGTTAAAAAGGAAACAGGTTGTAAAATGGCACAACTCTTCAAAACCAAACAAACAAACAGAAGGCCCCCTAAAAACAACACACCAACCACCTCATATGTGGCTTTCTTGCCTAAAACAAACATTCATTGGATTCACAGAGGACTTTCTTCCTATTGCTTCCCATGCTTCCTTGATCTTTCTAGAGGTATAGAATCCCTGCCTTGTGTTTTGATGTTTCTGGTCTCCAACTACTAAGGGACCAACCTGAAGAGTAAAATTTCAAAAGTCAGGAAATTACTTTTCTTGCTCTACACCTTTTTTTTTTCAGTCCTTTCCTGATTCATCCAGGGTGCTCTGCCTTAGTTCTCCCAGGTGGCCAGGACTTGTGCAGTTGAAGGTTTCCATCAAGGGCTTAAAACATCAATCACCTCCATTTTTATTAAAAAAACAAAAAAACCAACCAACCAACCAAACAAACAAAAAAACAAAAACAAAAAAAAAAAAAAAACCCAACCCAACCCCAAAAAATTACTTTCCAATTCCCAATTTTTTTTACACCTTGTATAATCAAAGTTTCACCAAAGTATGTAAGGGAAACATGAATAATCCTGGAAAATATGTGTAATACATACGAAATAAAACCAGTCTTTTTCATAGCGATCAAGCCTACCATTTCTCATCCCACAGTGCCCTCCCCTGCTAACAGAGAACACCTTTTGCACAAGGTGCATGAGTGAAGTCCAGAGGTGACAGGGACTGGATGGACTGCCTAGTTCTTTTCATCCAGGGGTGTAGCACAACCACATCAAGTGTCAGTGAGCACAGCTATGAGGGCTTCCCCTTACAGAGGTTCCTCTACCTCTAACCCTTGGAAAGGGAAGGTCCAAGCTGTAACTGGCAGTATGAATTTTTCTTTTGATCCTCAGCGGGAAATAGAATGCTATCATATTCTGACACTAGCTCTGATGCAGCAAGGGCATATTGATTACAAGGTTGCCTCTTGATATTTCAACATCCCCTGTCATGGATGGGGGCTGAGATTTCCTTACGCACTCTGTGTAGGTAGTTGCAAGATTTGTCCTACAACATGTATTTCTTATAATTTGTTATTTCATAGCATAGGTTATGTAATGGCCCTACTTGTTGGATACTGGCATTAAGGACTCCTTTTCAGCCCACTCAAAGCATACTTTCCTCTCTTCCTGGCCAAATCTAGACAGACTTCTTTACTCTCAGTAAAGAGTAAGTCAGTTTCAGTCAGTTTTAGAATCCTGTCAGACTTAGCTCTAGTCTGAGTGAGAAGGTTTGCAATAAATGTGCTCCCACCACACTGTCTTCTCTTCTGAAAAGCATGTATTTAATCTTCCCCAGTACCTCAGCAGTCCAGTGGTGGAAAACACATGAGAGCACTTGCTCTCATACATCCAAGAGAGCAGGGTATCAGAACTGGGGCTGTAAGTGCACCAGTCATAGCTTTGATGAGTAGGATTTTTCTAGGATGGCTCCAAGAATGAGGTTGAGGAAAGAAATTGCAGGAAGAAACAAACCTTGTTGCTGTTTCACCTGCTGTGAAATAAGAAGGTGGCTAGCTTGCCTTTGCAGCAGTTAACAGAGCTGGTGGTTGGATGAGAATGTGACATTCAGTCCTCTGAATACATAAAATCTGTCAATGTTTCTTTCCCATCCCTCAGAAATTCTTCGTCTACTATTTGTGCATTGCAGGCTTTCCTACTGAGTCAAAGGATGTAGATGCTAAGGGAGAGAGTGCACATGCCTACCTCTGCCAGCAAGAGGGAACCTCGCAGAAATGCAGCATCCTTCTGTGTCTATCCTCTGCTCCTCATGCTTCATAAATGTACATTGGTGTGCAGTGTCTCACGGCTGGTTTCTGTACTTTGGTCTAGGGGTGAGACAGCACTACATAAGGCTGCCTGCCAGCGCCACCGCGCCGTCTGCCAGCTCCTGGTGGATGCGGGAGCCTCTCTGAGGAAGACAGACTCCAAGGTAACACAGCTCCATCAGCCCCTCACAAACCCCTGCGCCGAGCGAGAGCCGGCAGCATCTGTCCCTGCTCTTTGCATAACTGAGGCTTCCTTGTGTGTGCCAAAGGCAGCTCCTTTGAAGCAAGCTATTTTTATAGAGAAAACTGTATTGATTTAAACAAACACAAGAGTTCAGTCCCCAACATGGTTCACTGTCACCATAGTAAGAGCCTGGCCTCAAACTATTTGGTGCATTGGGTGTGAATGAGACATCTCCATGGCACAGCACTATCCTCCTCCTGTGTGGTCAAAAGAGAGGTCTGTGGGGAAAGACCACCTGCAGGAGCCTTGATTTCTGATTGCACAGCATCTGTGAGGCTTGGTTATTGTGGCTGGCTTGCTTTGTGAGGATGGCTAACTATTTTCTTTTGCCTTAGCTTGCCCCTATGCTCACTGTTGTGACACTAACTACAGCACTCTCTTGGTGTAAGCTTGACTGAGAAAGAAATCTGGGAAAAATTAAATCCAAAGAATATTCTGTCATTCCAACAATCTGATTGCTTAGGAACATGGTCCAGAAGCTGCCTCTCTGGAGTTTCTGAGCACAAGCACCCTGTGGTCAGCAGCTGAGAGTGAGTTGGTTCTCTGGACTCCAGAGTCAGAAGCACCTTTTCTGCAGCTGGGCAATCAAAACTAATTTTTGCCTTCTTGGGCTCTGTGAGGTAGCCTATAATGGGAAGAGAGGTCATCTATGATTCTATCATTTTTGCTCAGATGGCAGAATTTTATGTTGCAAAAAGCTTTCTGAAACAGATGAAATCCAGACAAGTGGTTTCTGACTTGTTAATCATCTTCCGCCTAGAAATCATCTGTTGTTCTAAATGTGTTAGCACAAGACTTTCTCTTCATGTTTCTTATTACAGGGTAAGACCCCTCGGGACAGGGCTCAGCAAGCTGGTGATCCAGATCTGGCCTCCTACCTGGAGAGTCGACAAAACTATCAAATGGTTTCCCATGAGGACCTAGAGACAGCAGTCTGATGTCTGAAAATGTCTGAGAGGATCCCTGGAAATCCCGAGACCACACCTGAGGCACTCGGGCATTGTGTGAGGAAGAAACTGCTGGAACCCACATGTCTCTCACTCTCGAGGAAAATACCTGAAGACATGCCACCAGTTTCTAAGGGCTACTGAGTCTTGCCACGGAACGGTTATGTTCCATTAGTTAGCCCATGATGGATGAGGTGGGACACTCAAAGGTCTGTGGAATCCATAGGCCACGAAAATTTACCTTTATTGCTTCCAGCAAGTAGCATGAACTTCTCCCATGTTCATCTGTATAATTTATTTAAAAAAAAAAAAAAAAGGAAAGAGTAAAGAGGGTGTGGGGGAACAAAATCCAAACTAACTGGTACATTAAGCCACCCAACCAGGCTGTCCTCCATCCTTACAGTTTCTGCATTGCTTCTATTCTCCTGTTCCCCTCACTTCTCATCAGTTAAATATTACCTGTTATCTCTGTGTTGTCTTCACAAATGGTTAGGCAGTAGCAAAATGTTTGAGGAGCTCTGGATGCCCTTAAGAAATATCCAGTGTTTTTACCAGCTACATTCCCTCCCCGCCATCCTCTTGGAAGCTGTGTTGTCAGTACTCAGCCCCCATGGCGTTTCCTTGCTTTTGGAGAGGATGCTATTTATTGCCCTGTTTCCCAGGGTTTGCGGCATGGTCAGATTTACAGCAGTGACAAAACCTAACCTCATTGTTGCTGGGCATGCAGTTATGGTATCCTCACGAGACAGGCATTTACATGGAAAGGAGCTCTATGGGATACACCATGCTGAATGGCAGAGCAGGAAGGCACCAGGAGGGTTTCTCATATCACTTTTATACCTGTAATGGCTGACCCAGTTCTTCTCAGGTTTCAGGCCTGCCTGAAGTTGATAGCTTCTTTAGTTCTTTACTTCTGAAAAGATGGGTTTTACCATGGGGAGAGATTTGTGCAAGACTGAGGGAATTCTGATGGACTTAATGACAGACCTAGTTCCCTTTGCAGCACAGCCAGAGGGAGGAAGGAGACCTGGAACATCAGTAGCCACCCTGGGCTCATTGCTGCCAACAAACAAATGGGCACTGGCCTGGTCACATTGGGAATGGGAAAACCTTCTTTGGCTGAACCTGTAAACTATCTGATTTTTCAAGGGCACCAAGTTTTGGGGAGTCTGTGGAAGTCTGTTCCTGGAGAAAGACAAGCAGCAGCTCATTGCCTTGTTGCCCACAATAGGTTTGAAATGTAAAGCTTAGCTGCTGTAAAGGCCAGCTGTGTCTTCTGTACTCATCTGTTCTCTGTCTTATAACCATAAAGGAAGAGAAAGCAAACAAATACACAGGCATAAATAAAATGTTTCATCTTTGGATTTCTAATTGCTACAGATATCTCAGTTGACAAAATAGCAGAGCTTCCACTTCTACTTTGTCAGACCAGTGCCCATGAAGATGCTCGTGGCTGACTTTTGGCATAACTCTTGCAATACATTTTTGAATTTTGCTTTGTTGTTTGATTTGAAAGATCCACCAGTGTTTGTTTTCACATCCCTTGCTAGGGGTAGCTCTCTAATAGATGGTGATCATCGGGGTTGCATACATTTGGAAACCATGAAAATAACTCAGGTCATTATTCAGATAAGTTTTTCTTCTTTGGTAGAAGTGGAGAAAATCAAATGAATGCATTTTTTTTTAAGCACGAGTGATTGTTGTAGTAGGAAAGGGGGAGCTGAACAATGTATTTTAATTTTTTTCCTCTTTTGAAAAATTCATTTGATACAGGCAAAATATTTCTTTAGTATTTCTTCCTCTGGAAGGAAACTATATATATTTGTAATCTATAGATCAATGGCGACATGAAATGTATTTTGTCTTATTTTCTGTCTTTACCTTTCTCATTTAAAAAATAAAATATGAAAGCCAAATTACTTCCCTTGATAATTATCCAGGGGCTTGTGGAGAAAATAAGTATGTGTATATATTAGAACAGAATTTGGCAACTGTTAAAATAAAAACTCAGAATATAGTTTTGGTGCGTGTGATATTTCCACAAGGAAAGATCCTCACATTGTGGTTTCATGGTAGGCCTTGCATCATTTCCCAGCTGTGAGAAAAGACATTACTGTAATATTTCTATACATTTGATGAAAACAATAATTATGTTATTATCACTTTAATCTTTTGGTTTTCTTTACTGATCTGAGAAATGGAGGAAGTTTCAATAGCACAGGAGCTTGGTCTGTCCTGTGCTGAGGCCAAGCTGAGTATGGTCATTCAGCCTGTGAGATCTCCCTGATCCTTTAGTCCCATGAAGCAGCTTGCTTTCATCACAGGTAGCCTCCAGCGGCCAGATGTGGATTATGATAAGGGAGCTGCTTCTGGTCCCTCTGCCCCCAGTTGTCCTTCCCTTGTCAGCTCATCCCTGGTACCCAGGAGGTGCTTGCAGCTGTGGCTGGCTCTGGAGAAACTTGTCAGGATGGGCAGATTTCCTGAGCAATTTTGTGCCATTTGGACTGCTCAGAGGAACTCAGACCACTTGAGAGAGCATGGCTTGCTTTTTTCACTGAAAGCTGGAGTACGATGTACGATCACAGTGAGCCTGTTGAGCTCTGGAAAGCTGTCTGGCTGTGTGCTCAGCAGGAGACAGCTACTGTATGATAAAAATAGCCCCCAGCACTGAAGGTAGGGCAGGAATGGGCTGGATGCGAAAGCTGGAGTGCGATGTACGATCAGAGTGAGCCTGTTGAGCCTCTGGAAAGCTGTCTGGCTGTGTGCTCAGCAGTAGACAGCTACTGTATGATAAAAATAGCCCCCAGCACTGAAGGTAGGGCAGGAATGGGCTGGATGTGGTGCCTTTGACGTTCAAGGTGTTCTGAAGCACTGCACACATGATGCACTGGATACCGGTGATGTTTGGTATCTGCAGGAAACGGAGCGCATCTGATGTTTTCCACAATGACTCGTGTGGCAAGCAATATCAGAAGTTGGTTCACTGAGGGCAGTTTGGGGCCACGACTATTCCTTGCCCTTTTCAAGTGTGGTGGGATTACCAGAAGCAGCAGGCTCTGCAGCAGTTAAAGGTAGCACATATTTATTGAATCTCTGGAGCACTTGGGGTCTAGGTTAGTACAGTACAACTGTGCCTGCACTGGGCAGGGCCCAAATTCCAGTGTGCAGCTGAGAGTCCACTTGAATTACATGTAAAGCATTTTGATTTACTAAAGCATCTCTTCAGTGGTTGTGTCTGTTAATGTGTGTATATTACTATACAGATGTATATTTATAAATATCAGTATGCATGTATATAGATGCACACATACACATGCAAACACACTTGAAATTGTGTCATTTGAATGACAAAGCCCCTAGGGATGCTCAGCTACTGAGATTGCTGGACTGACAAAATGTCATTTGCCATTTTAATTTGTTATTAAAGGGAACCTTTCTCAGTAGAACTGAGGAGCTTCCAAATTGTTCCACTGTACTGGTTTTACTATCTCGTTTTGGAGTTAAACAGGGAAATAAAGTATTTATAATGTTGATAAAATAAATTTTGTAATTTAATAGCAACAATTACTCTTATTATTTCATGTTTCAATGCTAGATATCTTTTTTGTGTTATTCAAGGCATGATGATGTCATACATTTTTTACCTATTATAGCATAGAATGGTAGTGGACAGGGGCACCTTGTACTAGATCAGGCTGCTTAGAGCTCCATCTAAGCTGACCTTGAACACTTCCAGGGATGGGTCATCCACAACTTCTCTGGGCATCCCTCAATACTGTGAGATGTGAGGCTGAGTTTTTGTTTATGTAAAACGGGGGTCCAAGGCAAATTTTGCCTTTTCCAAAACTGGTGTCAGACTCCAGTGGATCTTTCATCATTTCATGTGATGTCTTTCTTGTCTGTGTTTTAGCACTTTAAGATGTCTGTAGGTGTTTTTACTGGGACCTGTCACTCTTACTTTTCCCCAGTAGCAGTGAAATTGTTCAGTCCCAACTCATGGTGCTGTAGCCTGGGTTCAGTCTACATGAGATGTCCCCTGCTACATGAGGACTGTCATACAGAAGGACCATAGTACAAAACGGAAAGAAAATAGTACAAGATTGATGTTTCGTTGCCACTGATCTTCCCAGGTGTATTTGCTGAGCTGGTACTGCTGTGTAAGAATAGATGGGGCACATAGTTTTTCTGGTGGTGTGGCTGTAGGAGGATTTTTCAGTAATATTTCATGGCTCTTTGGCTCACTTTTGTCTTTTTGCTGTGATGGTGAAAACATATGGCAGTGAAAGTTTCTAACACAAATTCATCTAGAAGGTGGCTGTTTCCCTTTCAGCCATCCCAGATGCCTTCTGTGAGACATGCTTATGTGTTGACCCTTCCAGGATGACAAAAGTATGTTGACATGATCTGTCTCTGGGGTATGAAATGGGAAAGATACATTGGCAGCCTCAAGTTTTCTGGGAGTTTAATAGTACTCAAGAAATGTATGGGCATGCTGGAAATTTGAATGCCTTGAAAAACTCTCAGGAAATTCTGTCCTTGTACTCCATATATTACAAGAAAAAAACAGTTCCTTGTGCTGATCCATTTGAGGTGTGCCATTTTCTTTCTCCCATTTTTTGCTTCTTTTGCACCAAACTAACATCTATAGAGAAGTATTTTATAAGACTTGTTTTAAAGCTTGCTAAAAGTAACATTTTGACCTCCATTTTAATTGTTCTTTGCCATTCATAAGATAATGTTTCCTCTTTTAATTTTCTTCAGTGAATCTGAGCCAAAATTACACTGAGTTATTAACTTCTAAATTAGTCTAAAGCAGCAAATGTGAGTATCTTTGGACATTTCAGCAGTTCTGGAAACATCTTATATTCCTGGGCCTTTCTGGATGCATGTGAAGCTATAGAAAACAGTATTAGAGTGGTTATTGTGGCACTCATCATCTCATTTCTCTTTCTTAACAACTATTTTTCTTAGCAATGGATTGCTACAGCCTTAAATTCCATGATCTGCCTGCCAAAATCTGTTGATTGCAGCAGCTACTCAGTGATGTTCTGCAAGCTACTCCAGGTGGCCATAGCAAGTGACCATGGCTGCTTTTAGTCCAGGTTCTGCCATGGCACTGGACTCCTCTGGAGTGCCTGCCTGAGATCCCCTGCAGGTACCAGAGCTCAGGGGTTTCCCCTCCCTGGTGTGTTTCCAGCACTGCTGCTCGTGGTAGTGCCCACAGAGAGTGGTGTTATTTCATCCCCTGCACATGTGCACTGGAGCAACACACCCTACCTTGGCCAAGGAATTTCCTGGTCCACGTATGGTGCCATTTGTGCAAAAGGGGAAAATTCTCTCCCTCGGGCCTTGATCACACCAGTAAATTAATAACATTTGACTTCAGTGATTAGGCAGGCTGAGAGCTGAATAACCTTACTGTATTCAGCCATCAGAGTGCATCTTGTCTCCTGCCTTATTTATAAGGTGCCAAATTCCAGTCTCAGCTGCAGTTTCTTGTTTGCCTGACTGATTTAAAAAAACAAAAACAAAAAAAACCAAACCAAGAGACAAAAAAACCAATCCATCCTATGCAGTACACATGTATCTGGTTACCCAGAGAGTGGGGAAGGCAGACAGATCATTTTAAAATCTTCTCATTCTGATGTAGCACATCATGACTTCTAAAGTCTGAGCAGGGGGAAGCCTTGCAACAAAAGCATTTGTTTCAATATTAACACATCTATATTTCAGGAAATAATTTGATGCTAAGCCCTGTTAAAAGAGTCAGCTTATGCTCTTAAATCTCCTATGTGTC